AATGAGTGTCCCTGTAACCGACCTGGGGCCATACCACCCTTCAGGAGCTGACTCTGGATCTCGAGACTGTGTATTCTATTGGTAAAAGTTTCCATTCTGAACTCAATGCCACTGGGTTGTTATGTCTAGTGTTATGTGTAATGACGTCACGACGATTGAAGTGAAAACTCTGTACAAGTACAAAGTACAGTCTGTAGTCTTAAGTACAACTTCTAACGTTATGCTGGATTTGTTTACTAGGACAAACCTTTTTACGTTATGCTGTATTTGTTTACTAGGACAAACCTTTTTACGTTATGCTGTATTTGTTTACTAGGACAAACCTTTTTACGTTATGCTGTATTTGTTTACTAGGACAAACCTTTTTACGTTATGCTGTATTTGTTTACTAGGACAAACCTTTTTACGTTATGCTGTATTTGTTTACTAGGACAAACCTTTTTACGTTATGCTGTATTTGTTTACTATTGATTGATTTATATTTCACGGATCCTCCAGAGGCAAATAGATGCCTATCGAAGGGAGTCTCCTTGGACAAACCTTTTTACGTTATGATGTATTTGTTTACTAGGACAAACTTTTTACGTTCTTAAAGGACAAGCAGCAGCTTTCGGCTTGTTTATCTATAAAGTTTTTCCACATCCACCGAACGCGCTCTCCTCCAAAAGCCTTGGATTCATGTTGCTGGTGTGTGAGGTTGGCCAGAGAGCGTGTTTGGTGGAGGTGGAATTACTTTAGCCCTTTTTACTGGCAAAATAAACATACTACAGTATGATTTTCACGCACATTCACATGCCAGACGAAAAGACAGCAACAACAACAGCAACAGCCCTCCAAGTCCAAGGTTCCAACGCACCATTGCATGCTTACACATACAGTAGACCTGCTCACGCACGAACACCCGAATGTACAGTCTGTTGCTGAATACTACACCAAACCACACACAAGACGTACCACACACAAGACCACACTCAAGCAACTCACTACGAGTACAGTGTCTGCATTGTCATTGTCAAGTTGCTCAGAGCCGCCATGCCATTATGGTGACATGTTTTTAGCAACAACCAGTTATGAAATAGAATTTTACGACAATCAGATTGACAACACCAACACCACCCTGGTCTGTATGGGACTGTGCTCTAAGACATGATGTCATCAGCTCTTTGTCCATATTTGATGAGAAGAGCGTAGCATTGAATCGTGATTGGTTCCAGGTAGTGTTGTTATGTGGTAATGGGGTAGGTCCCCCATTATGTGTGTAGTCTACATGTGTGAATGTGATTCTTGTCACCAATGACTATGTAAACAACACATTTTTATGGTCTCGGTCTGTGCAGAGCGCGATGACATCGTGCAGACGTGTAGCACATCACGTGACAACACGCTGACACACACGCAGTGCTGCGAACAAAAGATGCCTGTCGTTCGCGCTAAGGCACACAGCCACAAAGCTAAAGCAGTGTCAGCAATGTATGAGTAGATGGCCGTCCGTGGTCTGCCAGACAGTGAGCATCTCCTGCCATTTACCACATGCATGTGATGCACGATTCGTTCAAACATCAGATCACATCGCTATTTGGTCAGCACCGCTCAGTCATCCATTTCTCAAGGCACAGTCCAGTTGTCCGTTTTCGTCTCCCTGCCTTTCTCTTTTGTTTCAAACGTCTTCTAGTGTTGTTGAACAGTCCCTCTGACCTACCTTTGTTAATGGTGCATTATCTTTTCCAGTCATTGTTACTCTTTCTCTCAACTAATAATCAGTCCGTAGTGGCTACAACGCTCTCTCAGAGAGTAACAAGTTCAGCACAACGCTCTCTCAATGAATAACAAGTTCTGCACAACGCTCTCTCAGTGAATAACAAGTTCAGCATAACGCTCTCTCAGTGAACAACAAGTTCAGCATAACGCTCTCCTTCTCTCAACGACCTACTTATTCCAGTCAGCCCACTCAGCCAACGTTTGAAGAAGATCTTTAAAGGAACGGACAACTCACTCAGTAAGTAAAAATACAATCATGTGCTATAGGTCTATTTGAAATCCCCTACAGCATTAGTATCACTGATATTGCACATTGTGACTATGCCTAGTCCAGAGCTAGGTCATCAGGCTGAGTGACACGGTTGAGACTGAGAGCTAGCGTGTGTGCACATGCTTGGTAGAAATACGTCAGGTACGAGTCGCTCGTACTGCACTAACTGACCTGGTTGACATAATGGGTGTATTTGCTAACGTTAGCGACTGAATCATTCGATTCACTCCCTGACCTTGTTCTCGCACTGAGTGCTACATCTTATCGGTCTAGTTAGCAACTGTGGATCGTTCAGTAGCGGTTCATGACCTGTAGATCAAAGTCCAAAGTTCAAACAGTGAGTTACTCCTTCGCTGCACCATTCCGTCAAGCAGCTGAGTAGATCTACCTTCTTGCAGGCGTAGGCCCTCCGGACTTCCGCGTCAAGTTTCTTCTTTTCTCTTCACTGCTACTTGAAGGCAAAGTTTAACAAACGGCAAGGATGACTTTCTTCAATTCAGCTCTTCCCTTTAGACTCACTACTTGTAGTCATGTTCGTCTATGAGAAGTTCAACGGTGACTTTATCCGTATGGCAAGTTAGAAACTGAATCGACCATTTTCAGAACTCTCAATAGACCAGAGAAGTTCATCATGTTTCCTACACTTAGCGATAAAGAAGAGAAAAGTAGATCGTTTTCACTGTCATCAACGTTTCTCCAACAAGGAATGTAAGTTACAAATGGAGGCACTCTATCTCTTTCTATTCGTTTACTTCCCATATTTTCGTTAGTACTGTCATCTCGTTGGTCTCCACCTTTGTCCTTGTCTCGTGTCGCAACTTGACGGCTATTCAGGGACCTACTGATTGACCTCTTGTAGACGAAGTACATTTCAGTTCTTTGTAACGAAGGTAGACTTGACGAGCAAGAGGATGTATAGATATTTCTAGTTGCGATCGACATGAAGATTGTTCAAATATCAAGTGTTTGCTGTTGTAACTGTTCGTGCTTGTCAAGTTGAAGTTGAAGTTGTTCCATTCATTTTGTGTGGGGACCTTTCTTCGAACTGGCGTTTTCTTCTTTGTTGTCAACGGTACGAGAG